AAGGACAGAGGTGCAGTTGCTTTTAAGCGCTCTCTGTGTTGATAAATATGAGACGCCTGCTTGCTTTGACAAACTAAAATGGCCTTTTTAGGGTTTTGCATTTTGCGACCAGAAATGTCCAGTACTTTGTCCTCTGTTAACAACATGTCAGCAGCTGTTCCATGTTTCCCAAACTTGTCAATGAACTGAGGCAATGTTCTGCGATGTGGTACAATTGCTCTAGTGCAGTGGTATTCAACCTTTTTTGTTCGCGTACCCCCAGATATAATTTCTCTTCAACTTTGTACCCCCAAAGTTGTTGGTGTATAATTCAAGTTATAAATAGTATATAATCTACATCTAAAATAAATTAAATAAATTACATTGCTGATTATTCAGTGTTTATCATAAAATAATAATTTTTTTAAATTTCATGTACCCCCTTAGATGTCTTCGCGTACCCCAGGTTGAATACCACAGGTCTAGTGCATATAGCTCACCGTCCACGGCACAACCGCTTGAAAGAAGGCAGTAGTCAAGGTCATACAGTCAAGCGCGCGACATTTTTACATCAGCTAATTAATTAAAAACATCACAGACATGTAGTTTAATAAAATCCTCTCGGGCTATAAGCCGCGTCAATACCCTGAGGACGAGGACAGAGATGGATCTCGAAACGTTGGTCCCCTCATGTTTTAACCACTTCACGCGGCTGATAGCCCGAGAGGATTTTATTGTACACAGTCGCCGTGAAAGCTCAAGATCATACGTGTAGTATAATATTGTAACATCAAATAAGTTAATGCACCTATGAAATCTGTACATCTCGTTATGTGAAGACGGAAAATATACCATCACTATTAATAGATTGCTGGACCAGCTGTGTCTCCCCCACTGTTCAGTGTCTTAAAACAGAACACAGAGGACAAAATTTAGATTTAACTACTTAAAGGACAATAATACTTGATAATATAATTGATGATATATTCTTTGTTATTCATACAGAGGCCCTGGTACGAACCAGGGACCTCCTACGGTGAAAAACTAAAAATATTATGCAAGAATATTTAGCTGATGTTGGTGTTATTGAGGTTTATGTCATTTTGATGGAAAATGTATAGGATTAAACTCGTCGAGAACAGTGTGAAGTATTCTTACTTGTATTAACAGACCTCTATAGTGTGATATATGCAAGAAAGATTATCGTCGCTTCATATCTGTGTGTAAATAACCATGCATAAACTTTTCGACAAAACTTCCAGTCACGAATAGAAGTTGTGCAACAATGTTTTTACTTAAAATAAATGACGCCAAGATTAAACGGTATCTTATCAACACATGCTGATATATGGCAGAATGAGTGTATATTGGTTTTCTGTTAAGATTTTTGACCGCCATGTTCTAAACTTGATTTGATCCTTTCAACTGGTATTAGGGGGGGTTACTATAATTTACATCAGAATCTATTGTCTGCCTGTATACTTTCAAAAATCGTAAAGATTAAAATGTACAGAAACATAATTTTGTCGCACAATACTAAAACACACTAAAATAAAATGTACAATAATTATGGTACCTGATTGAATAAAATGTTTGGTTTATTGTTTCTGAGCACCTCCCGAAAAAAGACTGTACTGAAATTTTCAGACGTAATTGTACAAAGTAATTGCACACACATACCAGAAATTCAAATGTAAGATTTATAATTATTTATTTATTTATGTAAATATTTAATACATCCACAGACTTAGCTGATTATGTTTAGAAACCAGTCAGTACAAATGTGTCGTAAAAATATTAGGTTTCTACAATTTAGCCTATTAGAACTGGGGTGCGCATTCAAGAGTATACGTTAACTTGATGGATACTTATGGGCCGATGTCATATTTGTCAGGAAGGTGAACAGGCTATTAAAATTGTCAAAAATCTGACGCAGTTTTCTGCGGGATCTTAACACACGTTCACATTTGAAGCACATAATTCACAACCTACACTCACCGCCCAAATGAAGATAAAAACATATATATATATCACGACCCACTCTCAGCGTTCGCACAGGTAGTATTACCAACCACATACGCCTGAAACGTAACTGATTTCGAAAGTGAATTCATTATTGGTCTGTTCTACTAGTGTGGGTGAAGTATAATACTTTTTCATTCAGTTGCACCGAATCAAGTAGGCGGTGACTTATTGTTAGTTGTTGCAGCAAAATGTCGTGACATCTAGATTAGGCATCCTTGTATTCTGGTTTCTAGTAAGAGGACTCAAAAACGCCTCTGAGACATCAGCTATATAGAATAATATAATATTAATGTTATTAAAATAAGTGATGGTGCAAAAAACAAGATATAAGTCAATTTCATTTTTCTTTCTTATAGGTGGGGATCCACTGCAATTTCCTTCTCCTTTAATTAGTTTGGCTAAATGATTTACGAAGTGGAATACAAGTGTGATTACATTGGTCATACCTCCACCACTTATCTCGACAAAACCAGTTTTATATGGTGCAGTACTGGCTTATAGAAATCAATAAATTCTGATGACTGTTCACTTACACTAACTACCTTTCGAAACAAAAAGACACTTCATCACTGCAAAATTAATGACGTACAAACCAGAAAGCCAATGTTAAGGACTGGAGGCTGCAGATCAAAAATTCCTTAACGCATTCAATGATAAAGTTTATGGAAAGCGAGCATTTGCCGGTCAGTTTTCTTACTATGATTCTCTACAGCTTTTAGATGATGGTTGATTCATCATGTTGGTATATGAGCACTGTCTGTTGGCTGAGATGTATTTGATATGGACTACGTTTTGGGAGTTCGCGTTGCTTTCGTCTTCTAATGATTCGTTTGCATTTCCCTGTCAGATTCTGAGACAGTGGCATCCGTGTCCTAGAGGTTAGGATACGAGTGCACTGACTTTGTAAATTGATGATTTTGTTGGTATAGAAGAGAAATATAGACCTGCCATAACTTAGTTGCAGACTTATCTACACGGAGACTTGGGTTCGCACACAGTTCGGTTTATGTGAGATTTCTGGTAAATAAAGTGACACTGAGACAAGATTTCTCAAAGCCCTTCGGGTTTCCCTGTCAATATCATTCTGCCAAGGTTCCTTCCTCATTCTTATATTATCTCTGGATGGGGCTGCCAATGGCACATTTAATAGATATACAGTCTCGCCCCATCGTATCAGTGGATTGATTACTGGTATCGGCAAACAACCTGGCGTGTGGATAACCTAACAAGTCTAGGAAGTTGACAGCGTTTGCCTATCAGACTCGATTTCACGACTCGAATGGTATTCAGAAGAGAAGCATGAGAGAAAAATTTTCAGTATAGCGTGTTATCCATATCCGACCGAAGCCTGACGCCTAATCACTTTACAACCTTCCCTGATTGTCACGTCGAAAATATAAATTTATTTTAATTCATAAATGTCGATAATCTGAAATGAATTGTGTGACGACGCTGTAAGAACACCCGGGGTTTTCCAATGGAAGTTCATTTGATGTTCCATCGTAACTCAGTGCGCAATTCGCAACGCGCAAATAGAGTGACGTCTTTCTCTGCTACTTCTTAATTCTGTGACTGTCACGAACGTAAAATGAGTGCAACTACGAATAAATGTTTTCTTGCAAAAAAGATAAGTCCGAGAACGCCCGATATGGTGAGATTGCTGTCACGTGGACCAGGCCCAACCTGGAGACCTCTACGAATTGACCAAGACTTCGGCTGCGTCAGGTACGAGCGGCCTGTAATGACCACTCAAGCGCCACGTGGTTTGCTTACACAAGAGAGTCGCAAATTCGCAATCAAATTTCATGTTGTTACAAACATAATATTTTTCGTAGATCAGTAAGAATCAGATGATCAAGCTGTCTAGAATGAAAGAAATATGTGCACTAACAGTTTTCGAAATGTCTATTCCAACAAAATTATTCACATCAAATTGAAAGCATAGTCTGAGCGTTTGGCTCGCAGAACAGAATGCTACTCATTTGCAAACAATTTATACTACGCGCAGCTAAAATGTCGTGGACGGTGAATGACGTCATTTCGTCATATGTTTTCAATTGAACTACATGCAGAATTGAAATTGCCCCGTTGATTTGCTCAATGAATGAATAAATGAATTAATATCTTGGAGTCAACCAACTACTTCACTTGCAGCCATAGTAACTCTCAACATGGTATCATCTGTGCTGTGTTGCGGTGCAGTGGTTTGGTACTTCAACACTGGTCTTCCAGCCCAGGCTTTCCTTAATTTCGGGCACAGACTATCCTTTGTACGAGTAGAAAAAATGTCCAGCTATCAAATTTTACAACTTTTTGGTCTAACTGTAGCAAAGTTTCGACTACGTAATGCCAGATAGGCCAACAACTGCTGCTTAAGTTCACGTTTGATTTTGTCCAAGTAAGATTTCAGGTTCTCTAGGCGGCGAGTATAAAGATTACTATCTTCTGGGATATTGCACCGCGCAGAGTGGTAGAAACTAATAGACGTATTAGAGGCGCTAAATGCCTTCATCAGGGTGAAGGAAAATAAACTCATACCCAACTCAATCCAAAGACAGTACCAACATAGGAACTGGATCATCAAGATAGCGATTAATGTTGCTGGGAAATCTTGTTTCTAGTATGGCCATTATATGCTTCTTTATCTCCCCCCCTCCCCCCCAGTCAACTGATCCCCTTACCTTTTACTTCTAATGGACGTAGAACGCGCAGTTTACTCCGGACTATTGTAAATGAGAGATCAAGATAAACTAAACTCGATTGTGAACTTTTAGACAATCATCCATTGCAAAACCTTTGACCATAAAAATATCCGCATTTTGTGTAGGAAATTAGTTTGGATATAATAAAAAAATTACGAGAATTAACAGAATTATATGACAATTTGTGGAAGTATGTTCACTGAAAACCTGGTTTTTCCACGGTGCCGATAGACGTCAGCTGTGTTACAACGAAGTACTGATAAGAATTTACAAAGCAAGTCAGTATGCAAGTTAATTTCATTGTGGAAAGACTGAAGTGCAATACAGTGGAGCGTATTTTCGGTGTTGGGTGGCTGCAGAATGAAAGAGAAATTGTTTCAACGTTTTCAGTGTTAGGTGGTTACAGAATGAACGAGAATTTTAAAAGTGAAGTATTGCATTGATTCATATCGTTTCGGGAGTTGGCTTATTCTCGTTTTCAGATGATTGTTTGTCGTTTCAAGACTGACTCATTTTTTAAATCTTTGTGTCAGTGGTTGGAAGCGAATCAGAGACTTTCTGAACACTAGGCTCGTTTGCTAACTTCTAGGCCAACGGCCTCGCACGTCAAAGGTCCTCGGTTCGACCTCAGTCGTCGGGAAATTATAAAAGATTTGTTAGTAAGGGTAATTACAACCAGCTGCCTGATTATGTACAGTGCAAGAGTCAAGTTACACACACACACTGTGTGAAACTACTAGCCTAATTAATCAACCACTGACACAAACCTTGAATTTTTTGGACACACCGTGAATGGGCTATGTGTGTCTAACGTTGAGTTAAGCGTTGCTGAAAACTAAATGTTTGAGTTTATATCACACAATGTCCCACTCACAATTGAATGGTTTCGTCCTGCATTTCTTTTGGCGACTATATTAACTCTGCTATTTTGGTAAAGCATCTCGTTAAATATCATGTTATGGAAAAAGATGGCGATTCGACTTCTCGGAAGCACTGTATTCGCCAGGCAATTTATCATCTGTACAGCAACTTTGGAAGGAGTGAAAGTGGCAATGATTCGTTTTGGTCTTTTGGAATGAATAAAGAAATATAAGTTGTACACGCCTGCATAACTAATTAACAAACTCAATGAAACAAAGTCCTTCTTGAGAAGCTTGCAGTACGCTTAGGTAGTCAGTAATTTCAAAGTTAAGTGCCCTTTTCACAAGAGCCTGCATATAACCCCTGCACTTAGCCAGATGAATAAAGTTCACAATTTACTGCCGTATTTCTTTGTGATACATTTTAATATTATTCTATCTACATTTAGGTCTCCCAAGTGGCCTCTTTCCTTTAGGTTCCTCTGACCGAAATGTATGAAATTCTTGCGTTTTTGTGTGTCTAATCAAAGAGCTGCTTAATTCTATCCAACATTCAAGCATATTTCGGAATGACATTTTTAACAATCTATCTGCTCGTGACGTAACATTCAACGTATTTACATTTGACTGATGTGCGCAATACTTGCAATGCAAAATTAAGTTTTATCGGTGGCTACTTTGGTAGCAAGAAACACAGATGACTCCTCTGTTTGAACCGGCCGGTCGGTTTTGTTTTAGTGCGTTTGACAGGAATATAGGTTTAGTCGCCATGAAGATATTTTTTAATTTAATTAATTTAATTTAGGAGATGCTATGTGTTGTACTTCAAATAATACTTTCAAAGATAATATTAAAATACGTTGCACTGTTCAGCACAAAAAGTTCATTCCCGCCGATATCGACAGGTCACACACTAGACTAGTTTTAACAGTAGTAGTAGTAGTAGTAATTGCGTTAGCAATTCTTGGTTTATGGCTGAAAATATCTCCTAGAACTTAAGTCAAATTGATGTTAACAGTGGTAATGCTAACACTGAAGACGCCTTTAAGAAGACAAACAACAAACCAAGGTCTGTAACCAAATTCGGTGCCATGAAAGAGAGGACAGAGAAAAAAAAGACAACGAAAAGAAAAATACACGTTCGTGAAGGAAAGCGGAAGTACAAGAAGCACACATGGGGTATTTAGACTCCTCTCATGCATCTGATGCAGAAGACAAATACGTCTTCATGTTGTTCCGAGAAAGAAACATAAATTCGTTACCCAGACATGGAAGGTGAGATCGAATATCTTTTTAAGAATGTTTACAGTTCAGCGTATTTCCATATTGACACAAAATCCGGCGTATGCAGAATAATATTCTTATTCTACATTATTCTACAACTAAATTATGCAGCTCCTTGTATGCCACGACCTAACAGTGTTACCAGCTTCACATCCGGATCCAGGTTAGTTTTGGAAGGCCAACGGAACGTTGAAAATGACATGTAAATGGCCCGGGACACTGAATATGGTGTTGATAGTTTTACAGAAGAACTGTCATACATTCGCAGAGTAACAAGTTCAGGATTTTAACAAGAAACATCTGGCTCTCTGGAGTAAAGAATAGTTACTGTCTCTCCTCTCTTATTTCAACGTGGAAATGCGAATGGTATTTGTAAACAATATGCTTCTTCGACAAGTACAAGTCTTTGGAATACTTTGGCTTGGCATTCAGCCACTGGTGGGAATTAACAAGACGTGGATGTAGAACTAAACTGAATGCACGGAACGAAGAACACAAATTCCGTTTGGGAAAACTGTGATAAAATAAATATCTTGACCCGGGTGTAAAGGCGTCTGGCGTGTGAAAATGTACTTATAGCCAGCTACAGCCGAGGTTATGGCACGTGCTGAATTAACGACTATAAATATTGGTGTCTGTCCGCACTTCACTTCCTGTTACATTACTTGTTACAAGAAATAGCAAGTTGGAACTACAAATGGGGAACACAGAATATTTATGTTAACATTGAAATGACATCTGCTATTCGTCACCTGGGTGGCGGGCTTCCTACCTGCCGACGTCATGGGAGTTTAAATCCCAACAACAAAGTCGACGAGGAGACAACGACGCGGTCTGTGTAATCAAAAGCTCCTTTCGATGTTTCCCTAGCGGTGAGCACGTCCGGAAATGGAACCCTTCTACCAGTCCCGTCTTGTTCTCGAGGAACGTGTAAATATTTAAACGGCTCCCGTACTCTCTGATAGAAGATAAAGTTTGAAATTTAAAACCTAACGTTCTTTTAAGCCATGAGAGTTGGAAATGAGCGGAATAGTAACCATTCTGCTTGAAAATCAGAGTCCCGTTGCTTTCCATGCATAAAGAATTGTGTGTTCCAACAGTAAGCAATTCCATGGGCAGGATATGTCAATTTGTGGTGTAACCTGATCGTTCAAGAAGTATCTGTTTTAATAAAATGCACAGATATGGACTATTCTTTCAGATGATGAGATTCCCGCGGCGTTGTAAGATGAAGATGGGTGCTATTTAGGGTAGTGACGCTTAGTGGAATTGTTGGAAAGACAGTCGAGCCTGTGTACTACATGGGACTGATGAGAAATTAATATAAAATTTTGGTTGGAAACAATGAAGGGAAGAGATCATTCGGAAGATCTAGGCATTGGTGGAAGAATAATATGAAAATGTATCTTAGAGACGTAGGGAAGGAGGGTGCAGTTGTATGTGTCGTTAATTACATATAAATTATAGCGCAGAGCGATAGTTTTCGACATGATTTGCTGTCACAGAAATTAACGAAATACACAGTTATACACAACAGTGCTTTCTCCATGCTGTAGTACATCAGAATTGAAAACGATTTGTGACTCATAATCCCAATGAACTCCGATATCAGTTTCATTACTCGAAGACTAATGATAAAGTCGATATTATCTGGGTGTGCCTTTCCCGCACTACAGAGTCGTTAAGTTATCACAGACTACACCGGGAAAGGGAAGTGATTTTTCCACTACCCTTTCTGATGGGTTCTTCTAATGCCTTTTTAATTTAATATACTAGTGTGTCCTGCTGTGGGTCTAATGTAGATTGTGGTACTTAGTTCCTCGTCTCACTACTGTTTGAGATTAGGTGTTTGTTAGACTAGTGAGAAATCAACAGCCCGGTGCACGAGATAGAGGCAAGATGTTAAAAGAAAACTGAGTAACACATGGACTATTAAACATCATAAACGAGCAGTAATCATTTGTTAAAATACTGTGCGGAAGATTACCTGGCGAGTGTTCTTTGCAAGACCGGTGTAACTGATCAGATATTTGTCATTCAACGTAGTTTGTGCCTCAAAGGTGTATTCCGTGAGCGAAACAAAGGTTGCGAAGCAGTTGTGAAAGATTAAACGAATGTGATATAATCACTAAATAGCCTTTATCAGAAAACAGTAACTTATTTCGCTAGTGACAGACACAGATAAATGACAAGACCTCTTGATATGGATGGTACCTAAATTTACTGATTAAGCAGTCGCGGACAGCAGACAATGGGTGGTCCAGATTTGGGGTTGAACGAGGGTAAGTACAGCTCAGTGTAAATAGACAGCATGTTACGAGTTGCTGCACAGCACTGGGCGATTAATACCTTCTTAAGACACTGCTCCGCACAATTTGTGATTTAGTTTAATAGACACTTGTGTCTTTCAATGTAGTCCTAACTACTTCCAGAAATTATTCCTGTGCCCAGGCACCGCGCCATGAACACGTTTACAGAACTCCATGGAGTTCGTTGGTTATAACAGGATAATGTGAGCTAATTCTCTTGGTTCTAGGCACCATGTATTTCCACATTATGTAGCAGTCGTCACCAAATTTGCTTCAAGG